GCCCTGGGCTTGCCCCACCTCCCCTGGCTGCCCAGCCCCTCTTTGTACACCTCCTCTCACTCGTAGCTTCCACGAGACCTTCCACAGCCTTCCCCAGTGCCCCAGCACTGACAGCCACACTTTCCATGGTGGAAGGACATTGTCTTCTAACCGTGGAATCTCAGAAGGCAGAGACCAAGTCCAGTACTTCTCCATGGTGCCCAGATTAGGACCTGGAGACACTCCAGAGACACACGATAGACGCAGCCAGACTGAGCTAGGTGGATGAGTGCTCCTCCAGGAGGCAGTGAGGACCTCATTGACATAAGCGACCAGGCAGAGGCTGGCTGACCATATGTCCCTATGAGTGATGCTGTCATTTCAGGAGACTCAGTCCAGCATAGAGTTTGGAAGAGCATAGGAAGTAGACTAATGATCCAGGCTCTACCACCTTCTAGCTGTGACCTTGGATGGATTACATAACTTCTCTGTGCTTCAGTTGATAATAGTAATAGTTTCCATTTCAAAGGGTTGCGGGATTAAATGAGATAATGTACATAAAGCCATTGGCCTAATTTGTAATCGCTACCCAATAAATATTTAGCTTTAAAAAAAAATAGAGTCCTGATCCAGATCACAGAGGAAAGTGGATATCAAAATAGGTCAGGGTCTTTGTGGTGACAATAAAAAGAAGAAAAGCAGAAACCAACCACTCCCCTACACATGGGCACATGGACAGATGACACCACAGCCTTTGAAATAATGTCAATCAAGCAATGTCAAGGGCACCATCAGCATTTAAACATAGCTCTGTGTCTTGGTCTTAGAGCCTAAAAGAATGGCACCCTCCAGCGTAAATCCACAGGGACGCTGTCAGCATTTGGGGTGGAACAGTTCTTTGTTACTCAAGCTCCCTTGGCCCCTAACCACTAAATGCCCTTAGCAACCCCAAATTATGGTGTCAACCCAAAATGGTCCCACCTCCCCTAACATTTCCAAGTGGCTTCAGGAATTGTGCTGGACCCGGAGGTACTGGCTGCCATTTCCTCCTTCTCCAGTGGGACCCAGCCTGCCTCAAAGCAGGGAAGCCAAGGATGTGGGCCAGCTACTCTACTCCCTTCCCAGGGGTGGCTGGTCACATCTGGGCACAGAGCATGGGCTGCCGTCTCAGGACAGCCATGTTGTCCAGCCCCAGCCTGTCTGCATCCCCCAGCAGCGGGCTGCACCTCCCTCCGCTCTCCACACTGAACGAGGCTCACTCCACAGGCCTCTTGCTCCTTCCTTCCCCAGCAGGGCCCACCATCCAGTGCTCATCAAACATACAGAACTGATGTTGCACAAGGCCCCCCCGAGGGGACCAACATCACACCCCTGATTTCTCCTTCCCCTCTCCCGCTGTGCGTCCCCCTGGCTGCAGCCTGCCTTTGTTTCAAGAGGAGCAAAACACTGTGTCTGAAAACGTTACTGCAATTAAATATGCACAAGAAGGGGGGGAGGGAGGGGAAAATGAGGACAATGAAGGATGTGAAACATCAGATGCAGCAGCTGCTTGTTGCTATAGAAACCCTAGCTCCCACCACCATCAAGGCAGCATCAGCCCCCCACCCTCCACCCCCCACCCCTGCTTTAAAATCCTCATAGGGCCAAGTGCTCTGTTTGTCCTGAAGTGGTGGGAGATGCAAGATCACAGGGTCCTAGCTGTCCAGGGCTGGAGCACCTGTCATCTGCGAACGTTGATTTCTGTGTCTTTCCTGCTTTTCCTCACCCCACCACCGGCACCACCACCACCACCTCCCGATGCTGGTACTTCTGATTGGCAGCAACACCCTCCAGTAGTTCTCATTCCAGTCCCAGTTACATAATAAATTACAGGAGAGCTTCCGCATTTGACTTTGGGATGTCACAACATGGAGACAAAACGGCACATGCAGAGTCCATTGGGGAGTCGGCTTTCTCTGTGCTTCCTCGCTTCCTCTCTGGCAGCCAGTTACAGAGCTTGGTGCCCTCCGCCTTCCTTCTCATCCTCACCCACTACCCTGAGCAAGGGTCTGCACGTCTGTGGTCTGTGTGCTGGAGCGGGGCAGAGCAGATTGTCCACAAACTCCAGGTTCCAAAAGATGGGCAGGCCGCCAGACGGCCGAGCGCTCACCTGGCAGGATCCCCCAAGATGTAGCTCCACAAGGATCAGTGGGAAGTCCCAGGCTCCGGCCCATATAACCACAGTCCAAGGACAGAGAGAGAGAAAGTGGCGTGGCCGCGGCTGACGGAGACAGGGCCAGGGTCTTTAGTTGACTGCAAGGAGAGTAGTATGACTGGGCTGCCTTCCTCCTCCCACGCCACCCCAGTGACAAGGGGATGCAGCCTGGGGCTGGCCGTTGGGAGTCTTGTTCTGCTCTACCCTGATGGGCTAAGTCTGATCTTAGGAGCCCACAAAGTGGGGCACAGTGTCTGGCACATGGCGGGTCCAGTCCTACACTGAGATGTGTGGGAGGAAGAAGGGAGGAAAGAGGGGCAACTGGAATTGTAGATAAACCAAGTTCACTCAGAAGCGAGACCAGACGGATGAAGTTATTTGAAACTGGATTAAATAAATAATTATTAAAACAAAGAATCCCTGTCATCCCAGCACTTTGGAGAGCCAAGGCAGAAGGATCCCTTGCATCCAGGAGTTTGAGACCAACCTGGGCAACATAGTGAGACCTCATTTCTACTGAAACATTTTTTTTTCTTAGCCAGGCGTGCTGTGCCTGCCTGGGGTCCCAGCTACTAGGGAGGCTGAGGTGGGAGGATCACTTCAGCCCAGGATGTCAAGCTGCAGTGAGCTGTGATCACACCACTGCACTAAGGCTGGGTAACAGAGCAGTACCCTGTCTCAGAAAAATACAAAATGAAAATAAAATGCTAAGCCTGTTAAGCCTAAAGAAAATTCAAAGGGCATCACAGCTGCCTTCTAGCATGTGAGGGAGTATGTCAGGAACACGGGTTTCGGCTAGTTCTGCGGGGTGCCAGTGAGTCAAAGCAGGACCCAGGGAGGGAGTGCCAAGATCAGTGGTCACCAAGGAAGACTGCTCCAAGAGTCATCTTTGCAATGGGCTGCAAAGGGAGAGAGGGAGCTCCCCAGCCCCAGAGATATTCAGATGAAGGCTGGAGAATGTTTGTGAATGATATCGTCACACGCTCAGCTTTTCAGCCCTGCAGTTCTCAGCCTTCAGTGTCAGAGGTGTCCTTGGGAGAGGTCTCCTCCCCTGGGTGCCGAGAATCTTGGACTTGTGCTTGGGATGGTGGAGGGGGTGGGTGGGATACCACAGAATATTCCTCACAGAAGCAGAGCTCTCGCCTTGGCACAGGGATGTCAGCCCCCAGGTAGGAGGAAGCAGACCTCTAAATCATAGGATTTAGAAGGGCATGGGGCTGCCCAAAATGTTTCCATCTGCCAGCGTGACATGTGGTGCAATCAGGTCCTTCCTGTGGGTTCAGCATGACCCTCTCCCCTGCGGCTCTGAAGTCACCATCACTATCCTGATCCCAAGGCCCTTTATCAATGGAAATGGCAGCCTGGGCCCTCCGGGTCTGCCTGGGAAAACCCTAAAGCAGAGGCAGAGGACCCCAGAGTTCACTTATCCATCTCAGTCTGGCCTCAGTGGGAGGACACAGTCATGAGCTTAGGGAGTCCAGTGCGAACCCCTCCCCAACCCTCAAGTCCAGTTTTCTCCTTTAAATCAGCCTTTATCGGCTCAAGGTCAAGGTGAGCCTGAGGACCTTAGACAAGGAAATTCCCTTGCCCTCTAGGATGGGAGGGGGTCTTGTGTCACAGTCTGCAAAGTGGGCACACTGCTGCCTGTGCCTCCTGCTCCCCTGCCAGGTCCTGACCATCGGGGAGGAGATGGCTATGGCAGTGGCAGGAGGCAGAGAGCATAGTGCCTGTCCCCTCCTCTGCCTTGCACACAATGGGTGTTCAAGAACTGTTTGAATGATTATTCTGTATCTTGTGTCTCTGCCCCTCCTCGTCCCCATCCTAGTAGAGCTTTGCTTCAGTAATTGTTGAGTGATTAAATGATTTCAATTGAGAGAAGAGGACTGAGGCTTATGTTTAGTTCCATGCAGAGGAAGGGCTGGGAGTCAGAAGTTCCAGTCCACTCCCTGGCTGTGTGACCTGGGCCAGTCACTTGACTACAAGCCTCAGTTTCCTTCTTTGTAAAATGGAGTTAGCCCCTCAAACAATGGTAAAAGCCAAGGAATATGAATGAGCTTTGCAAACTCTTGCAAAGAGATAGGAAAGATGAGAATTAATATTCACTTAGTGACTGCATATTCTGCACCAGCCACTTTATTCTTCTTTTTGTTTTTTTCCTTTTTTTAGAGACAAGAGTCTCACTCTGTCACCCAAGCTGGAATACGGTGGCATGATCACGGCTCACTGAAGCCTTGACATTCTAGGCTCAAGCAATCCTCCTGCCTTGGCCTTCTGAGTATCTGGGACTACAGGCATGTGCTACTAAACCCAGTTAATTGTTTGAATTTTTTGTGGAGACAGAGTCTCACTATATTGCCCAGGCTAATCTTCAACTCCTGGGCTCAAGTGATCCTCCTGCCTCAGCCTCCCAAAGCATTGGCATTACAGATGTGAGCCACAGCACCTGGCCCCATTTTATAAATCTGTACGTCCACACCATTATTTGTACTGGCTTCCCTGGAAGCCCAGCGACTTTCCAGAGCTATTTAGTCAGCTGTTGTACGGATAAGATAAGATAACACCCCCTCAGAGTGTTTAAGTAACTTTCCCAAGGTCACACAGCCCATAAGTAGAAGAGCCAGATCAGAACACAGATCTCAGTCAGACTCTAAAGCCCAACTTCTTTCTGTTAAACTCTGGAGCATCTATTCAGAAAGGAACAATTACTATAATTTCTGTTTGTCGTCTTGTTTGTGTGTGAAAATCCTTATTTGTCAGAGATGCTACCCTGCCTCTGAGGCTGCACATGACAGGAGAGTAACGAACTATGTCCCAATTGTGTGTCCAGAAAACAGGTTTCTTATTACCTACCATGGCGGGCTGTACATATCTGACGTACAGAAGGAGGACGCCCTCTCTACCTATCGCTGTATCACCAAGCACAAGTACAGCGGGGAGACCCGGCAGAGCAATGGGGCACGCCTCTCCGTGACAGGTAGGGGAGAGGGCCTGGGGAGCATGGGGCAGGCTGGGGAGGGAGGACACCAGGCCATCCCTGGAACTTGGCATGTCCCACCACAGATGAAGGAGCCCCCTGTGTACTCAGGGAAATCAGAGGAAGAGATTAAAGAAAACAGGTACCAAAACCACCAAGGAAGACCTCTTTGATAGGTTTTCATTTTCAAATAATGAGGGCTATGAGACCCACCCTCTTTTTCCTTTTCTTGCCTTCCCTGACAGGAAGCTCATAGATAAAATCTGATACTCATAGTAACTATTAGTGTCGATGGGGGGGGAGGGAGGTTTGCATTTCCTTGCTTCTAAGCATTTTTGAGGATTTTTTTTTTTTTTTTTTTTTGAGATGGAGTTCCTCTCTTGTTGCCCAAGCTGGAGTGCAGTGGCGTGATCTTAGCACAGTGCAACCTCTGCCTCCTGGGTTCAAGTGATTCTCCTGCCTCAGCATTCTGAGTAGCTGGGATTACAGGCATGTGCCACCATTCCTGGCTAACTTTTATATTTTTTAGTAGAGACAGGGTTTCACCATGTTGGCCAGGCTAATCTCAAACTCCTAACTTCAGGTGATCCACCCGCCTCGGCATCCCAAGGTGCTGGGATTACAGGCGTGAGCCACCAAGCCCAGCCTGAGGACTCTATCTTATTAATGAGTACACGTGTATCTTTTGTTGTAGGCCACCTTGCAACGTTTGAAAGCAAGCAGAACATAATTGATAAACAAAATATTTCTAAGTGGAATAAAGGATTCTTGTTCTGGGGTGATTATAGCTTCTCGGGAGGGATGGAAGCCAGTATTTATTGAATCCCCCTGTGTATCTGAGATGCCCTCATTTGCTTTCTGTCAGGTACTGTCATAGCCCTGTGAGGTGTGTGCTGTTCCCCCTATTTTTACAGGCAAAAAAAAAACAGGTCTTAGGGGAGCCCAGTGACTTGCCAGAGCTGTTTAACCAGTGGGAGGTACAGCCAGAATTCAAACCCTAGGCCCCTGGCCTCGGGGTCCTTCCAGCTACAGGACCCCGTAGAAGGGATCAGTTGAATGCCCACATCCATGCTGCAGGCACAGAGAGGTGCTCCTTGAGGAAGGCTTTCTAACAGTGCTTTCCAAAGTGTTGGACCATAATGCCGAGACAGATGTTCTTAGCAGAGCCTGCGCAATGCACACTGGCATTTTCTACCATGCTCATGGCAAGGTGCTATGAAATTTTCTGTTTTTTGTTTTCGTTTTTTTTTTTTAAGATGGAGTCTCGTTCTGTCGCCCAGGCTGAAGTGCAATGGTGCAATCTTGGCTCACTGTAACCTCTGCCTCCCGGGTTCAGATGATTCTTCTGTCTCAGCCTCCCAAGTAGCTGGGATTACAGGCATGCACCACCACGCCAGGCTAATTTTGTATTTTTAGTAGAGACAGGGATTTCACCATGTTGGTCAGGCTAGTCTCGAGCTCCTGACCTCATGATCCGCCCACCTCGGCCTCCCAAAGTGCTGGGATTACAGGCATGAGCCACCGTGCCCTGCCTGAACTTTTCTACTCTATTCTACATTATTCTGATTTCTATAAATGCTGGCCACAACTCTCCAATGGATTTCACAACCTCCTAATACTTTGTGGGTTGTGAGTTGAAAATCTGTGTCTTGAGATTGGAGTTTTTGGAATGGGGATGAACACTAAATCAGAACACCTGGCTTTTGGGATTAGACTCATGAAGTCACGCAGCTTCTCCAGGCCTCTGGAAAAGGAGCCAGACTAGGTGGCTGCTCTGACTCTGTCTGCCTCTGCCTCTGTGCTTAGAGCTCGGGCCTGAGTTTGGTGGTTGGTGATGAGCTCTGCCCTGACCCACAGATGACTCTCTCCAGGACCCCTCCCACTTGTCTATCACACGTGGGGCTAGGCCAGGAGATCAGGAGCTGGGAGGGCAACAACCAGGCTGCTGATTCACCCCTGTGTCTTCAACACCTGGCCCTGTGCCTAACACACAGTAGGTGCCAAGTAAATATTTATGGCATTAATCAATGCCAAGGGAAACTGTGCTGTCATATGGATAGGGGACAGGGCTGCTCCATGCTGCCCCATCTTTGTGGCTTGACTTTAAAATCCGAAGCCCAGTTTCCAAAGGGCTTCCCTCAAAACTACAGGGACTTGTTTGTATGGTGTTTTGCATCTCATTTGCATGTTTTTTCTGCGATGTAGGAAAGGCACAGAAATCCCCCTCCTGCAGGCCTGCTCCCTTCCCCTCCGCAAATATCTGGCCCCTTCATCCTCTAATCTCCTGGTTGGACCTCTAGCTTTTGGGGGCACTAGGCAGGAGTCCCTCAAAAAAAGACATTCTTTGAACTGGAGGCCATGCCAGCCCTTCTTCCCCTCCTCTTTCACCACCAGCTTTCAGGAGAAGGGGCGAGGGGGAGGAGACTCACAGATAAAGCCCAAATAGAAAAGCAGGCATGAAGATGGGACGGTCCCCAGACAGAGGAGAGAGGCCCCAGCACAGAGAGAGATTGGCATAGGGCGGGGGAAAGGCAGAATGGAGAGACATGCACAGAGACAAAGGAAGGGAGAGAGGGGGCCTATGGGGAGGGGGCCCGTGCAGTGACGCAGACCCTGATGTGATGGGATGTGACAAGGCGATCTGCAAGCTGCTTGTCTCGGCAAAAATGCAACTGATACTGGAGCAAGCAATGCAGGGGGGCCAGTGGCACTGGGGAGCCCAAAGCCCACCTCGGGCTCACCCACCCCTCCCCAATGCACTTCCAATCCACTCCTCAGAGCTGAGGGTGGGGATCAGTCCCCCGAGAAAGGCAGGGCATGAGTGTCAGCTGAGATCTTTCAGTCTCTAGAGGCCAGGGCCCCGAGAGCTCCTGGGGCGTGTTGCAGGTGAAAATGCTCAGTTCACGAGAACAGGAACCACATGTGTGGTCTCTTCAGCACTCGGTGCTAAAGCTGCTCGGGGTGGGGAGAGATAACGAGGTGTTATGAAGACGGCAGTTATGAATTAGGCCAAAGTTTCCATCTCTGCCTCAACACTCACTAGTTGTGCAGCCTGGCATAAAACAATGTTCCAAACCTCAGCTTCCTCATCTGGAAAATGGGAGTGACAAAACATAATCCCACTGGGTTGTGTCGAGAATGAAATAGAATATCGCCTATTGAGAAAAGCCAGGTGTGGTGATCCCAGCCTGCAATTCCAGCACTTTGGGAAGCCAAAGCAGGTGGATCACTTGAGGCTACGAGTTCAAGACCAGCCTTGCCAATACGGCAAAACCCTGTCTTCCCTAAAAATACAAACATTAGCCGGGTATGATGGTACACACCTGTAATCCCAGCTACTCAGGAGGCGGAGGCGGAGGCGAAGAATCACTTGAACCCAGGTGGCAGAGGTTGCAGGGGGCCAAAATCGCGCCACTGCACTCCAGCCTGGGTGACAGAGTGAGACTCTGTCTCAAATAAATAAATAAAGCACGCCTATGAAAAGCTTAGCTAGTGCCTGACAGGCGGAAGCACTGGTCAGGCGGTAGCTGCTACTGTTATCCTCAGTGATTGTTGTTCTGTTGTTGCTACATTTTTATTCCTACTACATTCCCAAGGCTCCCGGGTAGGGAAGGAGCGCAACTTTCATTTTTCTGTATTTTCCAAGTTGCTAAGGCATTTGCAAGAATAGTCTGCGCCTCCAAAAATACAACCTAATCATAATCATTTTATACCTCTAGGTGCTTTTTTAGAGCTTACCAAATGTTTTCAGGTGTATTAACTCACTTCGTCCCCACAACAACTCAGTGGGATGAGCACTGTCATCTACAGTTCTAAAAGAGGAAACCAGTGGCCAGAGAGGCTGAGGGACTGGGATCAGATCCCCCAGCTCACAAAGGACAGAGCCGGGTGCTGAAGCCATGCTCCTGGTGGTGCCCTAACCACCTAAACACCACAGCAGTGCTGTTCAGCTGGCTCTAAGGGGTCCCAGCAGCCTCCCCAGGGCAGCGCAGACCCCCAGCCAGCCCAGCCCAGCTCCAGTGCACCCCCAGCAGTTTCTCAGGCCGGGCCATCTGTCTCCCCCAGCCCTGCTTCAGTGCCAGCAGCGCCCGGTCCCCCCGGGGCTGTCGCCATGTACACGCCGCAGTAGTGTACTTCTGCTCTGGAGTAATGAAAGAGGTTTCTTTCCCTCAGAATTTAATTTCACGCCTGAGCCTCGGTGATTAATTCCCTCCCCCCCCGCCCCTTCCTCCACCGCCCTGATGGCCCCTCCGCTTGTAAATTCTGCAGTGCGCCACGGAATTTGTGTATTTTGCATCAATTAAGTGTCACATTGAGTAATTCTTCCCTGGCACCGGGTTTGTTTATCCCAGCCATTCCCACCGGGTTGGGGTGGGAGAAGAGGCCACAGAATCTGGCAGGCGGGGCGCATGGGCTCCAGATAGTAATCGTCCCGCGCATCTGCAACTGGATTGAGTGTCTAAAGCACTTCCGCAGACCTATACCGATGGTTGCCTGCAACGGCCTTGTGAAGTCTGAAGGCCAAGTTTTCACCTCTACCGTGCAGGTGGGGAAACTCGGGCTCTAAGAGGTCACAAAACTTGCCCAAGGTCACAGGGTCACAGGGTCACAGGGATTCCCAGTAACCCAAGCAGACCTTGCCCCTGGAGACCCTGATTCCCAGCCCAGGCTCCTTCTCTATCCCACAGGCAGCCCCTGACAAGCTCTGGTAGGTGGAAAGAGAGCAGAGATTCTTCCCCCTAGAGAGGAGAATTCTCACCCCAACCCCTCACTGGGGCAATTGCTGAGGGCAGAGGAAAGCTTCCATTAGTGAAGGGACCACCATCTACTCCTAAGCAAAATGTAGGATTTTAGATTATTCCATCACAGATGCCATTTACCAAACAAGCGTGGGGGGGTCCTGGCTTCTGATCTGGCTGGTCCCTGTACATCTCTGGTCTCAGCAACCTCATCTCTTCATGCCTCAGGCTCCCTAAACCAGCTCTATAAAATTCCACAAGTCTTTGTAGTTCTGCAATGTGGATTTCCATCCAGAAAAATCAGATCACTGGCCTGCCCAGGCCTGCATGCCCCATTCATCCTCCCTAGACATTTATGGTTCACCAGCCTGGGGAGATACAGCGGTGGTTTAACCCTGCCTTGAGGAGTTCCGGGTCTTCTGGCTGCTGACTGCCCTTGGAAGGGGCAGTGCTGATGGGGGCTGCCTCTGGAGAGGCAGGTGGGGTGGCAGAGGGCAGGAGGAGACTCCCTTCATGACAAGCTCTTCTATACTTTCTGAAGTTTTACCAAGTGCATATGTTATCTATTTTATCTGTTAAAACACTTTTAGCTGGGTGCGGTGGCTCAAGCCTATAATCCCAGGACTTTGAGAGGTTGAGGCGGGCAGATCACAAGGTCAAGAGATCGAGACCATCCTGGTCAACATGGTGAAACCCCGTCTCTACTAAAAATACAAAAATTAGCTGGGTATGGTGGCATGTGCCTGTAATCCCAGCTACTCAGGGAGGCTGAGGCAGGAGAATTGCTTGAACCCAGGAGGTGGAGGTTGCAGTGAGCCGAGATCACACCATTGCACTCCAGCCTGGGTAACAAGAGCGAAACTCCATCTAAAAAAAAAAAAGTAAAGCTTTTATTATTATTACTATTATTATTACCACTATTTTTGAGACAAGATCTTGCTCTGTTGCCCAGGATGGAGTACAGTAGCACAATCACGGCGTCACAGCTCACAGCAGCCCCACATCTCTGGCTCAGCTGATCCTCCCGCCTCAGCCTCCTGAGTAGCTGGGACCCGAGGCTTGTGCCGCCACACCTGGCTGCCTTGTTTGTTTGTTTGTTTGTTTGCTTGCTTGCTTTTTGGTAGGGGTGGGATCTCACTATGTTGCTCAGGCTGGTCTCCAACTCCTGGGCTCAAGTGATCCTCCCACCTCAGCCTCCCAAAGTGCTGGGATTACAGGCATGAGCAACCATGCCTGCCCTATTAATAAAATGTTTCTTTTAAAATAAAGGGGAGTTTAAGAAAAATATGTGGGAGTCATTGAGGGTGGCCTGGGGGAGGCATCCAGAAGAAGTGATATTTAAGCTGGATTGTGAGAGATGAGTAGGGGCTGCCAAGCAGGACAGGCTGGCTGGGCATCCAGGCGATCCAGGTGACCCAGCACACCACTGGAGGGTTCCATGGAGACGGGGGGCAGTGTAGGCAGGCCAGGCCCATACTCATTGGGCCAGATCATAGACGGCCTCGGCATTCAGGATAAGCAGTGGAGGTGTGCTATGTAGGTGAGGGGGATCCTGGTGAGGTTTAAAGCAGGAGGAGGTCCCTCATTGGCAGAAAACCTAGGGAGGCCCTGGAGGGTGGGAACTAGCCCAAGAGGGCAGATGGGACACCACTCAGAAATGGCCTGGGCATTGCACACAGAATCCTGCCTGCAGGGCCATGGTTTTCTGTGGCTTCAGGCCGCAGGTCTCACAGTTGCTGGTCTCTCTTGGTTTCAAAATGCAAAATAGAGTAATGTCGAGGGTGACCAGTGGGGCTTCTGGATCCTTCTAGGCTCTGGTGGAAATGCACTGGTCATTTCTGAGTCTGTCCAGAGTTCAGGCAGAAAACAGAGCAGGAACAGAAAGATCATCCTCCCATTTCCCAGTAGGCCCAGAGAGATACTTACCATAAATTGCAAACTTGAGACATCATGACATGAACTACTTTAGAGCCTGGGCCAGAATCCAGGGACACAGCTGGGCATGGCTCATGCCTGTAATCCTAGCACTTTGGGAGGTCAAGATAGGTGGATCACCTAAGGTCAGGAGTTCAAGACCAGCCTGGCAAACATAGTGAAACCCTGTCTCTACTAAAAGTACAAAAATTAGCTGGGTGTGGTGGTGTATGCCTATAGGCCCAGCTACTCAGGAGGCTGAAGCAGGAGAATTGCTTGAACCTGGGAGGTGGAGGTTGCAGTGAGATTACACCACAGCCCTCCAGCCTGGGTGACAGAGTGATCGAGACTCTATCCTGAAAAAAGAAAAAAGAATCCAGGGACTCTACATGGGGAAGGAGTTCTCACGCACACCCTCTCCCTCCCTGCACCACTTGCTCTCTTCCCCCTTCTTCCATCTGTCTCTCTGTCTGTCACTCTAGCCCTGAACTCCATCATATTCTCTCCTCCTCCAAGCCCCTGCTGGGAATCTCAGTCGAGGTTGCCTGGGGCTCAGTCTGGTCTGAGCACAGAAGACAAAATGTACCCTTCCTGAAATGTTCCTCTGGAGCTGCCCTGGAAACTGCTCACTATGGGTGCCAATGGGCAGCAGGCTCCTGTCTAGGTGTTTGCCTTCCCTACCCCAGCCCCGATGCATCCCACCCGGGGCTGGCCAGGGCTGCGGACTCTCTCTGCCTTCCAGACCCTGCTGAGTCGATCCCTACCATCCTAGACGGCTTCCACTCCCAGGAAGTGTGGGCCAGCCACACTGTGGAGCTGCCCTGCACCGCCTCGGGCTACCCTATCCCCGCCATCCGCTGGCTTAAGGATGGCCGGCCCCTCCCAGCTGACAGCCGCTGGACCAAGCGCATCACGGGGCTGACCATCAGCGACTTGCGGACCGAGGACAGCGGCACCTACATTTGTGAGGTCACCAACACCTTTGGCTCGGCAGAGGCCACAGGCACCCTCACAGTCATTGGTGAGTCAGGGAAGCCCCTTCTGCAGCCCCAGTAACCTATGAGAGCACCACAGGGGTCGGGGAAGGAGTGCGGTCGACAGCTGCACCTGTCTCTGACAAGCCCTGGGAATAACCCAGGCTGGCTGGGGATGGCAGTCTGGTGTCCTAGAAAAGCCCTTGGCTTGAAATCAAGAGGCCTGCCTTTTGGTTCTGGCATTAGCAGATAGTAACTGGACTTGGGCAAATCACATAATCATGACCATCAGCTCAGTGCCCTTCTATGTAAAATGGAAACATGGTCCCAGCCTTCCTACCTCCCAGAGGTCATGAGGCTCCAGTGGGATGAATAGGGTGATATTGATGTGCTAGCCATGAGGGCAGGGCTTCTGGGCTTGTAGGAAGGTACACTGGCTTTAAACAAGCAAGGCCTCTCTGCCAGGACCTTCCAGCTGGATGTCAACCCTGGTCCCTTCCTATTCCTCCTCCTGCTCCTTCTAGGGGTCCAAGGAGCTGGTATGGAAAGCAGATGGCCTTAGCAGACCCCTGCTGCTGAGGAGCCCCCCAGGCAGGCAGAGAGGGTAGAAGCAGATGGGCCAATGTCCCAGAAAGCACTCTGGATGAGGATTTGTGAGACCCAGCTCACCCCTTCCCCCTCCCACCCCACCTCTGCCCGCTCTGTGTGACCCAGCCTCAGGGTCTCCATCTGTGAAATGAAGGGGTTCCTTCTAGCTCCGGCAACAAGCGTCTGACTCTCTGAGTTCCCTCCTCTCTAGGCTGTAGTCGGGCTGGGATCTGGAGATCCTGGAGGAAATGCCATGCCTCATGGGAAAGGAATGAAGCTGTCATTCCTGACAGCATCTTGAGGGTCATTCAACATGGGCAGTGGAAAGAGACTATCCGGAGGTGATCCCACCCCCCATCCTGAGAAAGGTGCACTCCTTTGACCAAGGGAGTTGACCAAAGAAGCTCTCCTTCCACCTCCCACCCACTGTGAGCATAAGACGGCGGGCTGCAGACTGTCAGGCTGGCCAGAGAACCACAGCACAGCCCAATCCTGGGCCTCGTGTCTGACTCCCCCAGCCCAGATAAGGGCTGAGTCTCCTTCCCAACAGTCAAGAGAGTTTTGAGAGTTGGAGTGTGTTTATCTGCAGTGCCCAGAAGAGCGCCCTCACAACACAAACTCACTGTCAAGGTAGAAGAACAGAAAGAGCCCCAAGAAATGCTCTGGGACAGCAGTGCACAGTACAAATGCGTAGGTGACAATGCTGCAAGCCCCACTTCAGGAGCCTGGGGGTTCCTCTCGAACAAACACTGGACAGCAGACAGAGGATCAGGATTGGGCAAATCACATAATCATGACCATCAGCTCAGTGCCCTTCTATGTAAAATGGATAGTACTTAGGGCACCCCGTTCTTGCCTTAAGTACTATCTGAAAAAGTTTATTCCAATATTATCTTCACCTCCTTCCCACCCTCCTGTTCTACACACACACACACACACACACACACACACACACACACGCTCTGTCTCTCTCTCTCTCTCTCTCTCTCAGAATAGGTCAGAAGGGCAACACACCCTCAAATCCTTGGAAAATTAGCAAACTTTTCTGTAGGTAAATGCAGTGTTCACAGCTCCTGTACCAGTACATGCAGGCAAGCAGAGACACAAACAGACACAGGCACACATATTGAAAATACACCCGCTCACCTCCCCATGAACACATGCACGTGTATATGGTGCCCACACACAGCACAGCTACACAATCCCTTCACAGCAACGTGCCCATATCCAAGCACACTCTCACACATGTACAGCGAGTCACCACCTCCAGAGGTGTACATGCCCACACTGACCCTGAATGCATCTTCTATAATCCCCAGTCCCCTGCCCCTCCCCACAGCAGGGTTGCTTGGACCACCAAGATTCAAGGGGAATCAACATGACTTTTCTGCATCTTTCAACCTCTCTATAGCCTCTCTCTGCCAGGTTCATGGAGAGAAATGCAATGCTTTCCATATCCCTCTACTCCTCCATGAAGCCCCCCACCCAACCTGTGCCAAGCCCACGCAGAGGCAGTGACGAGACAGTGGCTGGCAGAGCACCAGGAGCTCCACCTGGTGCCTGGGTTGAGCAGGAGGCCACTTGCCTGAGTGTGCACTGACAGCTCCTGGACATCAGGCGGAGGCTCTGGGAAATGAGCAGGGGGGACCACACATGCAATCATGTCTGATTTGGCTGCACCTGGCCCACATGGGCTTGCAATCTTCCCCTCTCCTGAAGGCTTCCTCACTTGGGATACCAAGCTACACAGGGAGCCTGAGCCCCCATACAGAACACCTAACCCATAGAGATCAAGGAGAGGTCACTTTGGAGCTTATAAATGGCTTGCTAAGCAAGTTAGACCATCAATAATGACTCAGGTCTTGGTAGGCCAATGAAGCTGAGAGATCCCATCCTGCTCTCAAGCAGCCCACAGGCCAGAGGGAAAAAGAGACAGATACAGAAGAGGTGATGAAGAGACAGAGTGCTCATTGTGGTGTGAGTTATACACAGGGAGGCTCAAGAAGGGATCCTTAGCCCAACCTGGAAAGGAGAGTGGTGTCCAGAAAGGCTTCCTGGAAGAGGTGACATCATGTGAAGGATGAGTAAGAATTAGGCAAAGAATGCTCTAGGTGAGGCCCTGGGCTCAGAAGCAGCGCAGGGTATGAAGAAATCACAGGCAGCTTGCTGGTGTTCTAAAGACTGTATGGCTTTGGTGACAACGGAACTCCTTCAGACCCCTAGAGTCAGGTCCCTGGGGCCTTGAGGGCCTCAGACGCCATGCTGAATTGTTTGGAGTCATGGAAGTTCTGAGCAGATGGAGATCAGCTGGGGGAAGGCAGAGAGGTGTGCTGCAGGGACCCAGGTTGGGAGCTCTGGGCCTGTAGTGGGGCGATGCAGGGCGATGCCGAGCAGGGTGTCCACAGATCCATCTAGAGGAAACCAGACCAGCAGCATGTAGCAATGGGTATGGGAGACAGCCTGCTGGGCCAAGGGTGCCTCCCGCGTCTCTGGGGTGGGTGATGAGGAGGATAATAAGCCAGTCAAGTCTCCATCTCCTCAAGAGCCAGAGGGAGCATCACACTCTCACTGGGCACAGGGACACACTTCAGGGGAGCACAGGCCATTAGAACAACAAGTACTGAGAGATCCCTCAGCCTGAGCCTGCCATTTAACAAAGAGTAGACTAGGGCCTAGCGTGAGGAATTCCGCAGTCCCCGTCCACACAAGGGGTCTGGAGGCAGGACCCGGGCCTTTTGTGACTCCTGACTGCCCCCAGCTGCACTCCACCCACAGTAAGCCCTTTTCCTCTTCTTCCCTCCCACCCATTTCCCCTCATGTCTCTCCCGCTCAGATCCCCTTCATGTGACCCTGACACCAAAGAAGCTGAAGACCGGCATTGGTAGCACGGTCATCCTCTCCTGTGCCCTCACGGGCTCCCCGGAGTTCACCATCCGCTGGTATCGAAACACGGAGCTGGTGCTGCCCGACGAGGCCATCTCCATCCGCGGGCTCAGCAACGAGACGCTGCTCATCACCTCGGCCCAGAAGAGCCATTCCGGGGCCTACCAGTGCTTTGCCACCCGCAAGGCCCAGACCGCGCAGGACTTCGCCATCATTGCACTCGAGGGTGAGCTGGGGCACCAGGACAAAGTGGGGGCAGGTTCAGGGCTGCCAAACTCATGCCCTCCCTCCTGCTGAGGTGGGAACAGTGCCAGGAGGCATTAAGCCAGCACTCACTACACACGAGGCCAGTGCACCGTCTCATCCCAAGTGCCCTGGGTGGAGTCCTTTCTTTTATATTTAAATTTTCTTTTCTTTTTTGAGACACGGTCCCACTCTCAGGTCTCTCAGGCTGGAGTACAGTGATGTGATCACAGCTCCCTGCAGCCTCAACGTCCGTGACTCAAGCAATCCTCCCATCTCAGCCTCCCAAGTAGCTGGGACTACAGGCAGGGAGCATCCTGCACCATGCTAATATTCAAGGTTATTCTGTTCACCTGGCTAATTTTTTTTTTTTAGAGACAGTCTCACTTTGTTGCTTGAACTGGGGGTGAAGCAATCCTCCTGCCTGGGCTGAGGCCTTTTATTTTTTTTTAATGATGTTACCCATTTTGCCATTGAGGAAACTGTGGCTTTGGTCACTTTCCCAAGGCCACACAGCTCTGCTCAAAGGACAGAGCAGAGATTTGAGCTCAGGTCTCTTAACCATCATACCGTATTTTCTCTGCCCTCGGGCATTTCTAGAACTTCAGTATTAGAGGAGTCTTCAGAGGCTGGAAGAGTGCCAGTAACCTCTAGACTAGCAGTTCCTCCTGCTGCCTGAGACTTCTTCAAGACAGGCTCTGTCTCACCAGCATCCTGGGTTTTACATGTTTGTTTCTCTGTCCTCTTTTAAAGCTGCCACCACCCAGGGCTCCTTACCCAGCACCTCTGAGTATGGTTGTTCAGGTTGTTCACTGCACACATTGCCCAGCCAAGAGGGTAGGTGAGGACTGAAATCCAGCCTGCACCTCATTTGCCAAGCCATGAGCCCTGGCACTGGGCTGCATCCACACAGAGGTGGCACTGCTTCCTCATTTGTACAGAGGTGCAGTGGGGGCTGGCAGAAACCCCGTCCTTACCAACAAGTTGAATGCTCCCCCAGCTCCTCCTTCATTGCTGCCAAAACAAACACAATGCAATTCTGTTCCTTCCAAGGATCTGTTGTGACAAAGATGCCAGCCAAACCCAAGCAGATCGTCCCCAGGTCTCCCCGTCACAGCCTGTGGGTCCGCGCTCCTTGGAGGTGTGAGGCACCCAGGAATCTAAGCCCTCATTCCTCACCCCAACCAGACAAACATTTGTCTTCCTTTTTGCTCCTTGTTTCTGTTTCTTAGAGACAGGGTCTCATTGCTCTGTTGCCCAGGCTGGAGTGCAGTGATGCAATCATACCTCACTGCAGCCTCAAACTCCTGGGCTCAAGCAGTCCTCCTGCCTCAGCCTCCTAAGTAGCCGGGACTACAAGCACATGCCACCACACCTGGCTATTTTTTTACATTTTTTATAGAGACATGGTCTCTCTGCATTGCCCAGACTGGTCTCAAACTCTTGGGCTCAAGCGATCCTCCCATCGCAGCCTCCCAGAGTGCTGAGATCACAGGCGTCAGCAACTGTGCCCGGCCTACTTTTAAAGTACTTAATGCTTATTTTAATCCTTTAAACAATCCTGTGTGGAAGTATGGCCAGGGTTAATAATTACATTCCCGTGTTCCACGTGAGGAAGCCAGGGCACAGAGGTTAATTGTCTTGTCCAAGGTTATTCTGTTAGCCAAGACTTAAGCCCCAGCCAAGACTCCTCACTGCCACTGCCTCTGTGCACTTTCAGCCTCAGACTTAAGACCCTGTGCTAAGGGGGCTGTGGCACCACCACCCCCTCCTGAGGTCCCATGCAGAGGGAACTGGCATTAGACTCCACAGGCCCAGGTGGTTCCATATGTAGTTCTAGACAGTTAACTTCTGAGCTTGTGTCTTTATTTTTTATTTTTATTTATTTATTTTTTTGAGAAGGAGTCACTCTGTCACCCAGGCTGGAGTGCAGTGGCATGATCTCAGCTCACTGCAGCCTCCGCCTCCAGGGTTCAAGTGATTCTCCCGCCTCAGCCTCCCAAGTAGCTGGGACTACAGGCACGTGCCACCACATTGTGTCTTTATTAATAGAGGAAGAGTTGAAAGGAACTAACATTTATTAAGAACTTACAAAGCGCTGTGCGAAGCCTCTGAAATGCATTAATTCATTTCATCCTCTGAATATCGATGAGGTGGGTATAATCACGATCGCTGTTATCCCCATCTTTCATCCATAAGAGATACGTGAGGAAACAGAGATTACACAATTTACCCATAAGAGATACAAAACAGAGATTACTCAACTTACCCAAAGACCCATAGCTAATAAGTGATTGAGGGAGGATGCAAACCCTACAGCCTGAATCCATGTCCAGCAGTAACTGGCACCTCTTGGGGCTGTGGATAGCAGAGGAACTGATGTACATGAAAGTTCTTTTTCTTATTGCGATTGCTTTTTGCCTCCACCCCTGCTGAGGTGGGGTGGCCGCGGGGGACGGTCTCTTCATGGCTCTCTGACCCTGAAGGGGGCTCCTCGCTCCCTGCAGATGGCACGCCCCGCATCGTCTCGTCCTTCAGCGAGAAGGTCGTCAACCCTGGGGAGCAGTTCTCACTGATGTGTGCGGCCAAGGGTGCCCCGCCCCCTACAGTCACCTGGGCCCTGGACGACGAGCCCATCGTGCGGGATGGCAGCCACCGAACCAACCAGTACACCATGTCAGATGGCACCACCATCAGCCACATGAACATCACAGGCCCCCAGATCCGTGATGGGGGCGTGTACCGGTGCACAGCGCGGAACTCGGTGGGCAGTGCTGAATATCAGGCGCGAATAAACGTAAGAGGTGCCTGTCTACATTTAAATATCAGAATAGGTTTTTGAGTTCCTTTGCCATCTCTGTGGTTACCATTATTCTTGTGCTGATTAGTACTTATTATTAATCGTCATTTTGATTTTAGTAGAGGTCTCTCTCCCCTCTCTTGTCCCCTTTCCCCGCCCTCCTCAAGTGCCATCATCCATTTTTGTGCGTGTGTGTGTCTGGTACAGTTCACCCTCCTTCACCTCCCCATCCCCGCTCCTCCTTCCTTCTCTCCAGAAATCCCACCTGTCCAACCCTCCTCCTACCCTCTAGCCCATTCCCCCCCATCAAATCTCTCTGGGGCCCAAGTATGCTAAGCACCTGCTGGTATCTGCCAGCCCCACCAGGGCCTTGTAAGACCAACACAGGGCAGGGGCTGGGGACCAGGCTTGGCCTTTAACATGGGTGCCCACCCAAGCTGTGCTCCCTGTGTCTTCCCACTGAGCTAGCCCCCAAAATGCTCTAGGAGGTGTAAGCATCCAGGAGCCAGGGCATCATCTTCTCCTTCAAGGCTCACACCATCAAGAGTGAGAGGATGAGGCAGGGTGGGGGTGTCCAGGCAGCCTCCAAGAGTGGAGAAAAGAGGCCTCAAGGGCATCATCCCCACATCTCAGCTCTCCAAGTCACTGTGGTGAGAACACAGTCTCCTCTGAAGCTCTCTATAGCCCCGTGGGGTCTGACTGGTCTTCATTTGACCCCTGACCCAAGGACAGAGGAGCTGGGGGACAGCAAGAAGGGAAGGAACACTGATCCAGGGGCACTCCTGGCTACCATGGGAGCAGGAAAGGGAGCAAAGGTGGAATTTTTGCTAAATTTGCCTGTGCCAGGCTTTGGACCCCCCGCGGAAGTGTGAGTTTCCCATTTGGCCACCCTCCTGCTCTCTCCTCTGAATTGCAAGGGGGACAGAGATGCAGGGCTCTGGAAGATTTCCCAGTTGGGCCCCTCATGTTCTGGATGGGGACCTGAGGCCCAGAGAGTACCTTGTACCCCATGGAGTACCATCTTGCTTGGTAGCCTCTGAACCCCCCTTTCCAAACCCCAGATTGCCATCTGCCCAGCAGGCCCAGCCCAGGACACTCTCTCCCCCCAGCCAGCATTATCAGAGCCCCTTTCACAGCTCCTACAACCCACATTTACTTACTGAAGGAAAGTCATCAGCTCAGCTGGCGAAGGCCTTCCTGTCATCATTAAGTAGTTAATTAAAATCCTTTTGGGGGCCGGGTGCGGTGGCTCACGCCTGTAATCCTAGCACTTTGGGAGGCCGAGGCGGGTGGATCACGAGGTCAAGAGATCAGGACCATCCTGGTCAACATGGTGAAACCCCGTCTCTACTAAAAATACCAAAAAAAAAAAAAATTAGCTGGGCATGGTGGCACGTGCCTGTAATCCCAGCTACTCAGGAGGCTGAGGCAGGAGAATTGCCTGAGCCCAGGAGGCGGAGATTGCGGTGAGCCGAGATCACGCCATTGCACTCCAGCCTGGGTAACAAGAGCGAAACTCTGTCTCAAAAAAAATAAATAAATAAAAATAAATAAAATCCTTTTGGGTACAAGATCAAAATAAGAAGGAGAATGGAAAGAACAAAATCTCCATTTTTCCACGTTAATCCCAAAATCTTAATCTCCCCGTAAATGAGTACTTGCCCTCCCAAATCCCAGTCACTTCTTGGTGGGGCTGCAGTGGGGTCCTATCCCGGTCCCACAAGGGGAATGGCTCTTGCCCCAGGCATGTATATACTGCATCTGTTTGCAATTCTTTGAAGCTAGTAACAGTGAGTCCTGGGCACCCCCAATTCCAGCCCCTGTCTGTAGCTTTGCAAAAAGCTATCCCTGTGCCCCCATCCAACATCCACCCCCTGAAAGTCTCAGGGGCCAAACGCCTGAGAAGAGGACCGCAGGGTGGTGCCCAGCTGTCCCTGGCTGACGGCAGCACATGCCCCTCCTCTCCTCCTCCTCTCTCCTGACCCCTGTCCAGGCCCCCCCAGCATCCGGGCCATGAGGAACATCACAGCAGTTGCCGGGCGGGACACCCTTATCAACTGCAGGGTCATCGGCTATCCCTACTACTCCATCAAGTGGTACAAGGACGCCCTGCTGCTGCCGGACAACCACCGCCAGGTGGTGTTTGAGAACGGGACCCTCAAGCTGACCGATGTGCAGAAGGGCATGGACGAGGGGGAGTACCTGTGCAGCGTCCTCATCCAGCCCCAGCTCTCCATCAGCCAGAGCGTCCACGTGGCCGTCAAAGGTAGGCCTCCCTCCCCAGCCAGGGCCCCTGTCCGCCTGGCCACCCAGGATGCACGGGCCCCTCCCCAGGTGGGGGTCAGGCAGCAGTAGGCAATCCTGAGTGAGCAGAAGGCTGAGCAAGAGAGGCCTCAGGTTGGCATTCAGAAAAAAGGGAGCAGGGCAGAAGACTGTGGGTGAACACAGGCCTTGAGTTCCTTTACATCCAGCTTCCTCCTCAAGCTGCATGACAAGACAGCATGCACTGCAGGTGCAGGAGGGGTCAGTTGCAGACAGAGGAGGCAGGCCACCTCTGGGAAGAGGCCAGGTCAGAGATGGGCTGCATGGGGCCTCTGCCGTCAGGATGGAGCACCCAGGAACTCGGCGGGGCCACACAAGAGACCAGCAACAGGAGGCCAGGCTGGAGGGATCACACTGGGAGCCCTGACTCCCTGTGGGACACACAGTGCCCAGCCCAGGCTGCGTCTACAGGACTGGGAACGCCCTTCCACCTGCTAGTACTGTTCGAGGCCTGGAAAGTGCTGCGTGGTGCTTAAAGGCCTCCTCCCTGGCTGGGCGTGGCGACTCACACCTGTAATCCCAGCACTTTGGGAGGCCGAGGCGGTGGATCACCTGAGGTCGGGAGTTGGATATCAGCCTGACCAACATGGAGAAACCCCATCTCTACTAAAAATACAAAAATTATCTGGGTGTGGTGGCACATGCCTATAATCCCAGCTACTCGGGAGGCTGAGGCAGAATAATTGCTTGAACCCAGGAGGCAGATGGTGCAGTGAACCAAGATTACGCCATTGTAGGGCAACGAAAGCAAAACTCCATCTCAAAAAAAAAAGCCTCCTCCCTCCTGGGCCCTTCACACACACCTGGGTGAGGTCTGTGTTTCATGCCTGGTTGTGGATCAAATGCATGAGTGAATATAAATGAGCAAACACATGAGCGTGTGAGTCAATGACGATGTCTCCTTGGTTCTGGGGCTGTGCAGGTGTTCGAAACCCCCAGTGTTTCAGACCTGTCTTTGGAACTGACAGGCCAGGAGACTGTCTGGATGATGTGTGGTTGCCCTAGGGCCAGGCTGGGGAGGTGGATCCCCCAGGCCTGACTAAGGAGAGGCCAGTAAAAACCAGGCCGCAGGGGTGGGGTACTGAGTCAGCCATAGCTGTGATGGCAGAAGAGCTATGTCTCTTCATGAAGAGACAGGGTGGGCTCAGGCCTGGGGAGGATAAGCGGATGGGTTGTCCTCTGCAGCCAGAGGCTCCAAAAGCATGAAGACCTCAGCTTGGGGCTCCACCTGGGAGGAAGGGAGGTCTGGGTGTCTCCAGCCAACATCCTGTGCTCTCGCAGCAGGCTGTAATGGTTACAATGATCTGCTGCTGTCACTGAGGCGGGCACACTGTGCACCCCTCATGGTGCTCCATGCTCCACGTGCACTGCCATCTTCCACCCCACAACTGCCCACTCACCTAAGGCAGGTACCATTTCCTCTCCAGTTTTCAGGGCAGAAAGTGGAGGCATAGAAAAGTTAAGTAGGCCGGGCACCATGGCTCATGCCTATAATCCCAGCCCTTTGGGAGGCCAAAGCAGGCAGATCATGAGGTCAAGAGATCAAGACCATCCTGGACAACATGGTGAAACCTCATCTCTACTAAAAATACAAAAAATAGCTGGGCATGGTGGTGCATGCCTGTAATCCCAGCTGCTCCAGAGGCTAAGGCAGGAGAATCGCTTGAACCCGGGAGGCGGAGTTTGCAGTGAACCGAAATTGCACAACTGCACTCTAGCCTGGAGACAGAGTAAGACTGTCTCAACAAAAAAAAAAAAGGAAGAAAGAAAAGAAAAGTTAAGTAAATTGCCATCTACCGTCAGAATCTTTCCCAGGTCTGCATAACTCTAGAACCTGGGCTCCTACCAAGAATGGCCTGGGGAGGGAGTGGAAGAGACAAGAGTCCTTGAGAACTCTGAGGGCTCCTGTCACCTGGGGCTCCCCTCTCCTGAGCATCTGTGTTGCACCAGGGCAGCGGGGAGGGAAAGCTAAGCTAGGTAGCACCCCTCCGTATCCCCAAGGGAAGAGAGGGAAGAATAGCATTGACCAGGGGAGGAAAGCTAGCTACCAGCCCATGGAAGGAAGAAAAAGAGAAGAGGGGTCCACGCCCGGGAAGGGGGCCCTGGCACAGAGGGACAGCCCTGGGACCCCCTGGCTGCTGCTTTGCCTCATGACTGGAAGCAACATGGAACAGATTCGCTGCCAGCAGCAAGGGGGACATATAGGAAGAGAAGCGTTTGTGGGGGAACCCTGAAGCATGGGATAATGCTGGACATCCAGTGGAAGGGCATAGTGGCCAGCTGGAAGGACTGAACAGTGGCAGTGGAAGACTAGGTCAGGACTTCTCCCCGCGCTCCTGCCATCAGCACACAGAAGCTGAGTCACACACCTCCTGCGTGCCCAACACCCGTCACAGTGCCAGACAGTGTGTGCTTTGAACTGAAACTGAAACATTAGGCTGGGTTGGAGTCACTTACTAGGAAACCTTACTGTGAACCCCCAAAAAATGGACTCTTTTTGTTTTTTTGAGATGGTGTTTTACTCTGTCACCCAGGTTGGAGTGTAGTGGTGCTATCTCAACTCACCGCAACCTCTGTCTCCCGGATTCAAGCGATTCTCCTGCCTCAGCCTCCTGAGTAGCTAGGATTACAGGCGCACACCACCATGCCAGGCTAATTTTTGCATTTTTAGTAGAGACGGGGTTTCACCGTGTTGGTAAAGCTGTTCTCGAACTCCTGACCTCAGGTGATCCACCCACCTTGGCCTCCCAAAGTGCTGGAATTACAGGCGTGAAAGTAGATTCTTATAGTCTATTTTGAGGACTTACTAGGAAACCTCAATTGTGGCCATCTGAGGCCTGGGAGGAGAGAGGATACCCTCACAGCCAAACCCCCATTTCCCTGCTGTTGCAACCGAGCCATGTGGAAGGGCATCCTGGCCACTCTCTCTGCCCAGCCCAGGGGGCTTGCCATGCCACCAGGGACCTCACAACCCCCAGGACATGTCCCCGCCCCTGGCATCTGGGACAAATCAGCTTGGTGGCCATGGATAGTGTGCAGCCTGCCTCCTTCACACAACATCACCGGCCAGGCAGCCTATATCCATTTCCCTTACAAGCGGTGGACCGAGAGTTTACACTGTAAACATCACATATTAAAACGTCTAACCTTTGCTCCACTCCCTTCGCCCGCCCTCGCTGGTGAGCATTTGGTCGGGTTTGTTGGCTTAAAAATAAAATAATAACAGGGCTGCGGTGGGCCTCAGAGGACTCGGAACATCCTGAAAGCTGCTTCTGCTCATCAATTATTCAGCCCCATTCAGGGAGCGATCAGTCCTAATGAATTGAATCTGATGCATTCCGTCTCAGCGACTTGCTGGGCCTGTTGTGATGGTGCTGAGCGACAGTGTCTCCGCAGACCAGAGAGAGGAAGGGAAGGGGAGGGAAGGGGTGTGTGTGTGTGTGTGTGTGTGTGTGTGTGTGTGTGTGTGTGAGATCCTAGAGGACAGAGCCCATGTCTCGGCCACATGTGAACCTCCAGCACCCAGAATAAGCTGTGCATAAAGCAGGCATATGGGTATGTGTGTACATGTGTGCTTGTGCATGTGTGTGTGTGCATGTGTCTGCATGTGTGTGCGTGTGCATGTGTGTGTGCCTGTACGTGCATGTACACGTGTGTGTGTGCGTTGTGTGTGTGCGTGTGTGCATGTATGTGTGTGTGCATGTGTGTACGCATGTGTGTGTGTTTTGCATGTACGGTGTGTGTACGTGTGCCTGTGCATGTGGACGTGTGTGCCCATGCGCACACGTGTGTGTGTACGCAGGCTTGCATGCACACCTTCCCCCTTCCCCATCCTCAGGGTCTAAAAAATCCCAGAAATCCAGCCCTGAGATGGGTGTTTTCTCTCTAGACCAAGAAGCAGCATTGGTGTGAGGGGCTCTGGGACCCCATGCACCCACCACTCCAAAAGCTCGGCCCCCCTCATTCCCATCCTTTCCCCGACTCCCTCTCCCACCTCATTAGAATGCACTTTTGCAGAAGAACCATCAGAGCTGATTATGATCACGATGCTTGATTAGCGGATGCGCTGTTCCAAGACCTACCCGAGGAGGGGAGTGGAGGAAGTGCCCGTGGGCATGGCAGGGGCCCTGTCTTGCAGGGGGAGAAGGGAGTGGGTCTGGGGGGCAGCTCTTCAGGCCCCACTGCTCCTGCCCGACTAGGAAGTGCATCCCACCCAAGGTTCAGAGCAGAGCTAGAAAGTAGAAAAGGGCGAAGCGGGGGAGCGGGGATGGGGGAACGGAGCACTGGAAGCCTGAGATAAAACGGGAAGTCTCCCACCCCAGCCCTCTGTGGGGCAAGGGTCAGGGGCAGGGTGGGGCTGAACCTTGCTGTGCCATGAGCCAGAGAAACAACTGCGGACTGCGTTCCTTCCAGGACTGCTTGTTTCCTAATGAATTTTTCAAACACTAAGCTGAGAACAGCAGCACATAGCCAAAAAGCGTGTGCAGAGGTGTGTGTGCAAGCACGCGTGAAGGTGCACCCTGGCACCTATTGCATGCACATGCAGCAATTTAACACATTTGCCCATTCACACTTGAGCACACACACATACACATGCACGCCAACAGTTACACATACACAAGCGTTTTGTCCGCCGGTGCCCTCCCGTAAGGCGACGTTCCTGAGCCACAAAAGGTGGCTGCAGGTGGGACCACATGAAATATTGCCCAAGAGAGCCTGCGGTGGCCCAGCAAGGTGGGAGGAACAGGGAGGAGAGAGGCTGGGGGGTGCTTTGAGGCTGTGTGTGCCTTGGCCTGCGTAACCTGGCTGGCAGTGGAGAACCAGGCTGCGGGGGAGGCAGTGTTTGTCTCTGGTCATCCGGAGAGATCCTTGGCAGGATGCTAAGAGGAGAGCACACAGATCAAACCTAGATTTGGTGACTTTAGGGCCCCCTGTAGCTGAAAA